GGGCTCAGAGCACAGAATAGCTGTGACCGTGGGGCGTGGGACCGGGATGCCACAGAACTTCAGTCCCAATGGAGGTGACTGGTGCTGGCAGCAGCAGTGTCGTGGTGATACAAAGCCGGGTGCCCAGCCAGGCTGCCTGTGCTAGGGAGCTGCCCGGCTGGTGCTTTGCACTCCATGGCTGCAGCTGCGCTTCACCCTTCTGCCGGGGCCGTTTCCTGCTCTCAGTCAGCCCGTTGTAAGATAACCGTGTACATACTCGTCTGTGTATTGGCAACTGGGTGTGCGCGAGTGCAATAAAACGCGATGGACTGGCCTGCTCTCCAGTGCGTCTCTCCCGGCTGGAGGGGCCGGGATACCCCTCCTTCCTGCTCTCCCGCTAGCTGGGGGGTGATATGGTGCCTAGCAGCGTGTTGCCCAAAGCTCAGCATAGCAGGGGTTTGTCTCCGGGGCGGAGGAGGGGGACTGTGTGTGGTGCTGGGGGCAAAGGAGAAGGGGTTTCATTTTTCTAGTCTGTTTGCACCCATTCCCAGGTGTAGGGTAGGCAACACCACCTGGGTCGTGAGACCAGTGCCTCAGCCGGCACCCTCCCTGGCACAGCTGCAGCCCCCATCCCAAGGCAGGTACGAACTCTGAGGAGTGCAGTGACGAGACCTTGCTGGAACACCATCGCCTGCCGGGGTGAGTTACACCAGAGCCTGGCCAGCGATGTGCTCCAAAGGAAGGTGTGAAACCCCCGCTCACATGGCTGCAGTGACGTTGGTTCCTGAGCCATCAAGCAGGGGCTGGCTTCTGCCCTGACGTATGAAAGGTTGGAGCCCTTTGAAATCTTCCTCCTCTCTCATGGAGCTGCATCCCTTCTTATTATTCAAATCATACATTCCAAAGCCAGCAGGGACCATGCTCATCATCCTGCTGACTGTGTGTGTAACGCAGGCCGGAGAACATCCCTGAAGGAATTCCTTTCTGAAATCCAGTTCTTATTCTGTGTTCAAGCCTGCTGAGCTCTGGCCCTCAGCGCTTGGGGCAGGGAGTTCCACAGGTTACATTTATAAACTATAGTGTGTTTAAAAGCAGTCCCCCTTTCCAGTTGGAAAGTTGCTACTTTTTAATTTCATTGGGCTTCCCTTCGGGCTGCTTTGCCTGGGAGTGTAAACAAGAGCCCCAAACTAACCTTACATATCTCTCCATGTCCCCTCCTTTCTAAACTCTATATGGCTAAGCTGTTCAGTCTCTGCATGGGAAAACCTTCCCCCCGCTGTATTCTGCCTCATCTTTGCACCTGCTCTCTGGCCACCAGGATTTCTGAGCTGGGGTAACCAGACCTGAACACCGCAGGCTAGGAGAGAATGTACCAGCGGTTTAGAGAATGGCACAATAGTGTTTTCACTGTTCTTCTCAATCCCAGTCCTTATGCACCTAAACACGTTGCTGGCACCTGTAACTGGTCGTGCTGCACATTGGGCAGAGGCTTTCATTGAGCTGCCCACAGGGATGCCCAGCTCCCTTTCCTGGGGCCACACAGGTAATTTAGACCCCTGGGATGCGTAGTAGTAGTATTCCCTCTAAGGTATATTACACTGTATTATTCACCAGTGAAGTTCACTTGCTGGATCAGGTCCCTCAGAAGTGCCTTGCAGTCCTCACTGGACTTGACTAGCATAAATACCGTTGTGCCTTCTGAACGCTCATTAATAAACATATTGAGCCACGTGAGCCCTAAGACGCAACCTTGAGTTTCCTGTTCTCCTTTTGCCATGCTGGAACTTGACCTTTCTGAGGCCTGATAGACTTCACCTCTTCCCCTAGGGTGATGTGGGCCTTGTTTGCTCTGGTTACAGCCATAGGGCTACCCCAGTGTAGCTGCCACCCCCTAGAGCGAAGCTGTCATATGCTGCCATTTGCACCTGTGCAGCTGATCCTCGTTTCAAGCAGGGGTAACCTGCAGGGGTGCACGTGGCAGTGCAATAGCAGCTGGGCCTGGCTGCACGGGAGCAGCTATGTCTGGGCCTGGTTGCAGCTCCCTGAGCCCCTGCCGTAGACACCCTGGTGCATAAGGGGCTTCTGGAAGTTCCACTGATCTGCCTGAGTGGGGATGGTGCAGGCAGGGGGCTGGGATGGACCCTGCCCTGAAGGGCCACAGGTCAGAAGCCAGACAAGTTTCTGAATAACTCTCAGGGCTGCCCCCTGGGACCATTCATGCACCCTCTATGGAGTTGTTCAGCTGTTACCGTTGCATTGCCACTCCCTCAGACTCACAGCCTGGATTAGTCTGCAGCAGCCCTGTTGGCTTGGTTAGGCATGGACTCACCCTACTGCTGTTGTGCCCCACCTGCTCTGGGAGGATTCTCAGGTGCATGAGGCAGATTGGAGCTTGTAGTCTAAGATGCTCAGTGTTACTGTGAGGGCGCAGGGACTAGGCGCTCCCTAGGGAGATATGGTCAGATGCCTAGATTTGGAGGCAATAAAGGGCCCAATCTCACAATGCAGCTGGGTCTGGGGGCCAGGGAGGAAGGACCTTTTATTACAAACCAACCTGGGTAAGTCTGATTTTGGCACTGGTGACCCAGGGGGCAGGTGCCTAACAGGCTAATGATCAACATGCAAAAACCTAGAGTTCCAGGCCGGACGGGAGCATTAGATCATCTAATCTGGCCACCTGTATGCCACAGGCCAGAGCCCTTCCCCCACTTACCCCAGGAGTAAGCCAATAACAGGTTTAGGCAACGTCCATCTCCCGGAAAGGCGTCCAGGCTGGATTCGGAGACATCAAGAGCTGGCGAAGCCACCACCTCCCTTGGTAGCTTATGCCAATGGCTTCAGCATCCAGCCACTGGTTCTTGTTCTGCCTTTGCTAGATAACCGACTTCTCTCACTGCTCCCTTGGCCTTCCTTCCCCACCTGTGCCTTGGGACTCTCCATAAATCTGTGAGTGCTGTGGGGCAGAGACTGACTTTTTGATATTGTTACAGAGCCCTGCACCATGGGGCCCTGATCTCTGCTTGGGACCCCCCAGGCATCACTGCAATACCAGCAGCAAACAACACAGAAGCAGTTTCTGCCCTTCTCTGGAAGCTGTCAGCCCCCAGGAATGGGCCCAGGGTAGAAGGCCATGGTAACCAGGATGAAATCTAGCAGTGACTGCGCGACCTGGCGCAGAGCATGGCTGACACTGCTGAGAGCTGCTCACTGTGGTCAGGAACCCATCTCCTGCCAGAGTCTCTTTCACTTGGAGGCTACCTGCTGCTCTGCGCCAGCTCCCAAAGGTGCAGCCCACACCAAGGAAGGCAGCACAGTGGCCGTAGTGGTTCACAACTCCTGTTGCTTCCTGGAGTGCCATGTAGGCAGGCGCATTTCGGGTCTGTCCGCACTGCAGCTGGCGATGTGTTCCCAGCTCAGGCAGACAGACTGGCAGTAGCTCAGCGTGAGCTAGCGGGCTAAGAACAGCTGTTGCAGGTCAGGCAGCAGCTCAGGCTGGCTGCCTGTGCTTGGGCAGGCATAGACTCAGGCGACTAGCCTAAGCCGCCACCTGTGCCACAACAGCTACACGACTATTTTTAGCATGCTAGCTCAAGCTGAGCGAGTGTGAGTCTGGCTACGCGGCATCACACCTCCCTGCTGCAATGCAGCCGAACCCTCCCAGGCCAGGCATGTGCATTGCGCCCACTGTCCCAGCGTTCACTTCTCCCTGAGGGCCCACTGCAGGCATGTTCCCCACACACCTTTCCCAGCCTCAAGGCCGGGTCTGGGGTTAGAATCCCATTAACATACAATAGGACTGAGGCTCCTAAAGGGCTAGATCCACAACGGGATTTGGGAGCCTGGCACTTAAGGTGCCAAAGTCCAAAATGTAGAACCTCAAAACTACTGCTCAGTGGCCTAACCCTCTAGGTGCCTAGATTTGCACTGGTAAAGTCCCCTAGGCACTTAACTTTCTACCCTGGGATATATCCATGGCTGCCTCTGGCTTGATGCCCAGTGTCTAGCTTGCTCCTAAGCCCCAGTAGGATTTGCACACTAGTTTCCGCCCCCCCCCCCCAGCTCTCTTGCAGGGCCCAATGGCAGGGGGTGTTAGAAGCTGCCTTGGGGAACATCAACAGACCAGCCCCGCATTGAGCACAGCAGGAGGTGCCTCCCTTACACTGAATCACCCTCCCCTGCCCCCCAGCTTGAGCCAGATTGTCCAAAGAGCCCAGTTCCCCTGTTCACACACGGAGATGTGGGGGCGGGGCATGAGTGCATTTGAAAATCAGGCCCAAAAAGGCGATGAGCTCTGAGCCCTTCTGAAAATTTAGCCTAAATGCCCAGGGCGAGGCTGGGTGGCCTCCCACTGTCTGGATGAGTGGCAGCTGCACAGTCCAGCCAGGAGGGCTGGGCCAGGAGCACTGCAAGGAGCTTAGAGGCACCCGGCACTCTCCATGGTTTTATTAGTATGTAGTATAATATTAACATAAACAAAGCCTCCTTGAATGTGTGGGACAAGGCCCCTAGCCCAGCAGCTGGGCAGGAAGGAAGCCTGCAGGGCATTAACCACCATGGCACACACCGGAACCACAAAGACGCAGCAAGTCTCACAGGGACTGGTCAGACAAGGCCTGGATTGTCAACAGAGCCCAGCCTGGGGAGCCACCCAGGAACCTGCTGGTGCTCCCTGGTTCTGGGGCCAGCCCCAGGGCGGTTGCTGTAATCCGCACTGGTGGGCACAGCCCCAGGGGACTGGCAGAGGAAATCCCCATCTGGTGCCATCTGGCTGCTTTCTGTCCTGTGTCGTCTGAGAGGTTCATGGGGCTAGAGGGAGGTAGAGAGTCGAGCCAAAAATACAGCATCTCCCAGCTCCTGGGCAGAGGAGGAAAGGCCAATGGGGCTGTACCTGTCGTGCTCTGGAGAGGGTTAGCCATGGACCAGCAGTGCCTGGCCAATGCCCTGCTCTCACACAGGCCATAACTGGGCTTTGGGAGCTGGTGCTGAGGGCGAGTGCTGGTTTGGGTGGCTGCCCATCTCCTCTAGGGCAGCCCAGCGCAGACTGTGTTGTTGTAGTGCCCGCAGCACTGTGTCAGAGAGGCTGTGCTGAGCTCGAGTCCCACCCAGCTGCCGGTGAAGGACAGGGTCCCATTGTTGCTGAGCACGGTGCTGGAAGGGAGAGTGCAGTCAGGGTCAGTTGCACCAAACGAACATCTTGCCATGGAATCAACACCTGGGAACTCCATGGCCTGACACCACCCGCAGCACAGAACCCCTTCCCCACTCCCACTGACCCACCCACTTCCACAGGGTCTCCTCTCCCCCAGGCCCAGAGCCTCGAATCCCCTGTCCGTCTGGCTGGGATGGCTTGGCTCCCCTTAAAGCCCTCCCCCACCTCAGTGTTGCCCAGCCAAGAGAGTTTATCATGAGCCCAGTGATAGTGGGGGTTTTCCTTACAGCCCCAGCTCCTGGAGTCAGGTGATTAAGGCAGTGTCTAGCCCTCCCGGTTGTGATCCCCAATGGCTCTGCCAGCAGAAGGCAAACACAGACCCAGTTGTATTAGTTGAAAAATCTCATGATTGTTCAGCCAAATTCATGATAGTTTGGGGCCTGAGTCATGATTTTTGAATGGCTGGTGTTGGTGACACTGTCTTCTAGTCCCAAACTCTCCCATGTCCATCCAGCTCTACGCCACCACTCCCCACATGCTCAATGAACTCTTGCACCCAACTCTCACCTGTCCCACCACTTCCCCAGGCTGTGAACCCCTCCTCGCCCTATGCAGCCTCTCTGCAGCTCAGCACTCCCCTCTGCTCAGAGCCCTCTCCCACTCACAATCAGCCCCCCCCAGACACCCAGGGTCAGGGTCAGGCCCCGCCTCCACTCCTGCATTCCCTGTAACAGGCCTCTTGCTGCTGCATTTTTTGTCTACGGCAGGGTAACATTTTTTGCAAATTTTTTTCATTCAAAACCACCAGCCTTTTTTCAAAATCAAAAAGTTTCAGGAGGAACCGTCACCGCGCTGGCGCTGGCCTGCGAAATGGTCAGTGATTGCTGTGATGCCAATGCCTGGAATTGGTTTCAAAATCTCCCCTTTGCCCCACCTGGGCTCTTGGGCCAGGCTGCATCGCGAAGGGCCTTCTGAGAACTAGTTCAACACTCGCCACTGCAGCCCCTCAAGCTAGGCCCATTCTGAGCCCTGCCAACCGGAGCTACTGCCCCTTGTTTGGGATACCGACGGCGGCCCTGCTTTTCTCCCTGCGCCCTTTAGGTGAGGGTCGAGCCCCCACTGGTGGCAGGGGATACTGCACCATGCCACACTGCACTGGTGTGGGTTGGTCTGAGCCCCATTAGCTCCCAAAGACCAGCTGCCCCCCTACATAGATGCAGACCCAGGCCAGGCAACAGCCCCACCCAGCCAGTGTGGCCAGGCCACACAAACAAAGACAAAGAACTCACTTAGCAAACAGCTGCCGGCAGCACATGTAGATGTCATAGCTGGTGGTGTTAAAGGTTGCCATGCTCAGGAATGCAGAGCAGTCGGCCACTTCCCCTCGGGGCACGTACAGGATGCCTGGGGGCAGGGAGAAGGAGTTTGTTATCCGAGGTGTTACTGGTCTCAGATACGGCCAGCATTTGCTAGGAGTGCCTTGTGTTCACGCCAGCGACCCAGTGGCCTGGAGTGGGAAGCAGCATAACACCTTCAAAGGCCTGGTCTACACTAGGACTTTAATTCGGATTTAGCTGCCTTAATCCGAATTAACCCTTCACCCGTCCACACTACAGAGCCAGTTAATTCGAATTAAAGGGCCCTTTAAATCGATTTCTGTACTCCACCTCGACGAACGGAGTAGAGCCTAAATCGATTTTGTTAATTCGAATTAGGGTTAGTGTGGACGCACACCACCGAATTACTGTGTTTAAGTTAATGGGGTAGTGTGGCCGCACACCACCGAATTAATGTGGTTTAAAACCGAATTAAGGTGCTTAGTGTGGCCGCGCACAATCGAATTTATACAACCTGTTTCCCAAATTCGAATTATCTAAATTCGGATTAATCCTGTAGTGTAGACATACCCTAAGGGAGCCTCTCCAAGCCTGCAGGACCTGCAGCAGCCAGGACCCCTGCCGTGGCTTTGAGTCAATCCCAGCGGCACATGGCTCGCTTGGCCTCCTTGCGTTTCTGATCTCCTGGGTGTGCTCTGCCGATGCAGACGGTGCCTCAGCGATGTGGCCCTTGGGGGAGGCAGAGAGATGCCCCTGGGCCTGTCTTTGAAACGGTCACATGAAACACTCCAAGGTTCATCCCGGGAGGCTGCACAAGCTGACAATGGCAGCTCTGCGAGCAGGTGTTACGGGGCTAGCCAGGCTCTCGGCCCCACCCAAATGCGCCAGGTGTCCAGGAGAGCCTGCCAAACAGCAGGCGGATGGGAGAGCCGGGGTCTGTGAGGCAGTGCTGTCAGCCAGAGCAGAGCCAGCACCGGCATGACACTTGCCCAGCACCAGCCGCAGAGGTGCAAAGGTGGCATAAAGCTGCGTACGGCCCAGGCCCTCCTGGAGGTTCAGCACCATCCTAGGGAGCTGGAAAGCAGGGACTGTACCTCCCACCACCACCGGGCTCCAGTGGGTTGTGAGTCTTTGGGGGGGGGAGCTTTGGGAGTGTGTGGGGAAGTGGGCTGGGGCGCACCACATGCACAGGGCAGGGTGGAAGCACACATGGAGCCAGGAGTACAGCAGTGGGGGGGGGGGCAGATGTGGGCTATTCCCCATGGCTGCGGAGTGGGGAGCTCCAGTGGGCCCTGGGCCAGGCTATTTTGCCCCCAGCACAACCCCTCTCTGTGCAAGGAGCACTCAAGGGCCCAGCACCCCCATGGAGCATCCAGCTCAGCCTGAGCCTGCCCCAGGCCTTGCGTACCCATTCAGTGAACATGCTTGGCAATTAGCATAGCCCCACCCATGCAGTGACAGGGGCCCTCCCCTTACACCTGGGTACTCACAATGCCCAGCCACCTCTGGGCCCGCTGGCCCCTCTCCCTGGCCAGCAGGGCTGAGGCCTGTGAGTGGAATAATGGATAAGGGCTGTTCTCCGAGTGCGAGGGCCAGTTACACAAGGGAACTGAGTGTCCTGCTGCAGCCACAGGGCTGGGCCTGCCTCACATCCCTCTATGGGGTGGCCGAGCCGAGCCAAGCAGCTGGGCTGCCTGCCCTTGCTGCTCCCGCACAGGGCACAGATGTCCCAGGCCAACCAGGATTCTCCGACTGGCCCTTTGCATAGGCCTCTGCCAAGACCTTGGCAAGTTGTCACCCAAGGCTATGCCCTGAGCTGCATCTCCCACTGCTGTGTGGGGAGGGGATGCTAGGGTCATATATCCCACTGGAGGGGCGGGGAGGGCTGGCCAGAGGCAGGGGGGCCAGCAGCAGGCTTCATTTCTCCTCCTGCCCCACACTTCTTGGGTCTGGACAGAATGCATGCTGCAGAGAGACCTCAAAGCCTCTACCAGAAGCGCTTAATCCTCCTGCCCCCACCCAGGCAGCACCGTTCCCCGGGTCCTCAGGGGCAGGGGCCAGACAGAAAACAGCCCAGAGCAGGGCCTGACTCTGAGCACAGTCGCGGATCTGGAAAGGGAGGAGACGGCAGACACTGAATCTGCCTGTGCAGAGCCACGCCCAGCCAGCTGCACCACTCGGCAGGCCAGCGGCCAGCACAGAGCCCACCAGGGAGCACTTCGTGGTCAAGCCGGGGCGCTGGTCGGCACTGGGGCAGCTGTGCATTGGGCTGACCCCACTGTCGCTCTGCCTAGCACAGACAAGGTTTGGTCTGAGGTCAGAGGCCAGTGGCAGTGGGTTAGCACTTGGGCCTTTCTGCTCTGTTGACAGGGGACCAATCCTGGCTCAGGTAGGGTTGCCAACTTTCTAACTTCTAAAAACCAGACCCTCCCTGCCCCACCTCTTCCCCCTGTGGCCCCGCCCCCACCCTGTCTTTTCCCCCAAAGGTCCTGCCCCTGCTCTGCCTCTTCCCCAGGCCGTGCCCCCAGCCCCGCCTCTTTCCGCAAGGCCCTGTCCCCCGCTTGCTCCTCTTCCCCCCACCCGTCACTTGCAGTTCTCTCCCCTCCCTCCTCGTCACTCAATCCTCTCCACCTGCCCCGCCCACAGCTGGGCTCCCTCTGCTCCAGGGCTGGGACGGGAGCTGCAGTCCACTGCGGAGCTGGCTGCCTGCCTGCCCATGAGATGCAGGTAGGAGGCAGCCCAGCAGTGCAGGGACTGGCATGGGTTGATGACCTAGACAGAGCCTCCCCCACCTGTGGTAACCAGACTTTTGGTGTCTGCTCAGTACATGTGACCGGACACTGCCAGGTCGCCTTTTCAACTGGAATTTCCAGTCGAAAAACCAGACACCCAGCAACCCTACGCTTAGGTCACAAGTGAAGATGAGTTTGATGGGTCTCAGCCTAGTCCTTGTTGAAGATTCCCAGGGAGGCTGCATGTTGGGAGAGAGAGGCATCAGTCAGTGGAAAGCATATACCACTGTGAGCCTAACCGGCATCTCTCTCCCTCACTGTTCTCAGGGACTGAGCTGGGGTCTCAAACAGATTATCTGCCCCCCTTAATGGCAATTTCTCAATTCACTTTCCCAAAGACCCAGTCTGCTAAGCAGCCATCTCTCCCTGCTCTCTCAGAGCTCCAGACTCCCCTCATCCCCACCACCCTTCAGGGGCCCGTCCCAGCGGGCACCCGGGACAGTGAAATCTAGCTGGGGCCGTACCTGCGACACAAGCGTTGAGCATGGAAACGCAGGCCCCGGTGAGCAGCGCTCGCAGCACGATGCTAGCAAACTCACTCTTCCGCTGAGGAACCATGGATGCTGCAGGGAGCAGAGGACAGTGTGGTGAGAAAGACCCTGCACTCAGACAGGCAAAGGCTCATCTGCCTGTTGTGCCCTGGATGGGGTTGTGCAGGTGGCAGGCAGCCGCCAAGGGACTTCTAGCCCCTGCCCAGCACTAGCCCAGATGACCCCTCAGCCTGGGGCCAGGCATGCCCTTCCATCTCCCATGTAACCCAGGATGCCCAACTGATGGGGCTAGTTCTACAGTGTTATGGTGTCTCTAAAATCTACCAAAACACATTGGAAGCAGAAAGTCCCTGCATAAAATGTTCCCTTGTGCCATGGAAAGTAGTTCCTGCAAGGGAGAAATCGGGAAATATAAGTGGGACAGTATGGCTGTGGCAAGGAGGGGGGGCGGTGCCCCTCCAGCCTCTACCCTCCATGCGGGAGAAACATCAAGATTGATACAAAAATGGGTAGAATTAAATTAGTGTTACTAGGGCTGTCAATTAATAGCAGTTAACTCATGTGATTAACTCAAAAAAATTAATCATGATTTAAAAAATTAATGGTGATTAATCGCACTTATAACTATAGAATACTACTTGGAATTTACTAAATATTTTTGGATTTTTTTTTTACATTTTCAATATTGATTTCAATTACAACACAGAATACAAAGTGCACAGTGCTCACTTTATATTATTATTTTTTATTATAAATATATGCACGGTAAAAATGATAAACAAAAGACAGTATTTTTTCAATTCACCTCATACAAGTACTGAAGTGCAATCTCTACTGTGAAAGTGTAACTTACAAATACAGATTTTTTTTGGTTACATAACTGCACTCTAAAACAAAACAGTGTAAAACTTTAGAGCCTACAAGTCCACTCAGTCCTACTTCTTATTCTGCCAATTGCTAAGACAAACAAGTTTGATTACATTGACGGGAGATACTGCTGCCTGCTTCTTATTTACAATGTCACCTGAAAGTGAGAACAGGTGTTCGCATGGCACTTTTGGAGCTGGCATGGCAAGGTATTTACATGCCAGATATGCTAAACATTCGTATTCCCCTTCATGCTTTGGCCACCATTCCAGAGGACATGCTTCCATGCTGATGATGCTTGTTAAAATAATAATGCGTCAATTAAACTTGTGACTGTACTCCTTGGGAGGAGAACTATATGTCTCCTGCTCTGTTTTACCTGCATTTTGCATATATTTCATGTTATAGCAGTCTTGGATGATGACCCAGCACATGTTCGTTTTAAGAACACTTTCACAGCAGATTTGACAAAACGCAAAGAAGGTACTGATGTGAGATTTCTAAAAATAGCTACAGCACTCGACCCAAGGTTTAAGAAGCTGAAATGCCGTCCAAAATCTGAGAGGGACGAGGTGTGAAGCATGCTTTCAGAAGTCTTAAAAGAGCAACACTCTGATGCAGAAACTACAGAACCCAAACCACTAAAAAAGAAAATCAACCATTTGCTGGTGGCATCTGACTCAGATGATGAACATGAACATGCGTCAGTCCACACTGCTTTGGCTCCTTATCAAGCAGAACCCATCACCAGCATGGAAGCATGTCCTCTGGAATGATGGTTGAAGCATGAAGGGCCATATGAATCTTTAGCGCATCTGGCACGTAAATATCTTGCAATGCCAGCTACAACAGTGCCATGCGAACGCCTGTTCTCTCTTTTAGGTGACGTAAACAAGAAGCAGGCAGCATTATCTCTTGCAAATTGTAACCAACCTTGTTTGTCTGAGTGATTGGCTGACCAAGAAGTAGGACTGAGTGGACTTGTAGGCGCTAAAGTTTTACATTGTTTTATTTTTGAATACAGGGTTGTTTTTTTTACATAATTCTACATTTGTAAGTTCAATTGTCATGATAAAGAGATTGCACTACAGTACTTGTATGAGGTGAATTGAAAAAATTTTTGTTTGTTTTTACAGTGCAAATATTTGTAATAAAAATAACTATAAAGTAAGCACTATACACTTTGTATTCTGTAAAAAGCAGCAGAGGGTCCTGTAGCACCTTTAAGACTAACAGAAGTATTGGGAGCATAAGCTTTCGTGGGTAAGAACCTCACTTCTTCAGATGCAAGTAATGGAAATCTCCAGAGGCAGGTATAAATCAGTATGGAGATAACGAGGTTAGTTCAATCAGGGAGGGTGAGGTGCTCTGCTAGCAGTTGAGGTGTGAACACCAAGGGAGGAGAAACTGCTTCTGTAGTTGGATAGCCATTCACAGTCTTTGTTTAATCCTGATCTGATGGTGTCAAATTTGCAAATGAACTAGAGCTCAGCAGTTTCTCTTTGGAGTCTGGTCCTGAAGTTTTTTTGCTCTAAGATGGCTACCTTTATATCTGCTATTGTGTGGCCAGGGAGGTTGAAGTGTTCTCCTACAGGTTTTTGTATATTCCCATTCCTGATATCTGACTTGTGTCATAGATAGATAGATAGATAGATTATTAGGGTTGGAAGGGACCTCAGGAGATCATCTAGTCCAACCCCCTGCTCAAAGCAGGATCAATCCCCAACTAAATCCCCAAATGGCCCCCTCAAGGATTGAACTCACAACCCTGGGTGTCCATTTATCCTCTTGCGTAGTGACTGTCCAGTTTGGCCAATGTCATAGCAGAGGAGCATTGCTGGCACATGATGGCATATATAAAATTGGTGGACGTGCAGGTGAATGAGCCGGTGATGTTGTAGCTGATCTGGTTAGGTCCTGTGATGATGTTGCTGGTGTAGATATGTGGGCAGAGTTGGCATTGGGGTTTGTTGCATGGGTTGGTTCCTGAGTTAGAGTTGTTATGGTGCGGTGCGTGGTTGCTGGTGAGAATATGCTTAAGGTTGGCGGGTTGTCTGTAGGCGAGGACTGGCCTGCCTCCCAAGGTCTGGGAAAGTGAGGGAAAGTGAGTGTATTCTGTGTTGTAATTGAAATTAATATATTTGAAAATGTAGTAAACATCCAAAAATATTTAAAATAAATGGTATTCTATTGTTAACAGCGCAATTAATCGCAATTAATTTTTTTAATTGCACGATTAATTGCAATTAATTTTTTTAATAGTGTGACAGCCCTAATTATTCCACCACATGCTTATGTTGTTAGTTAGTTATGTTGTGAGATTTTCAAACCAATCAAAGGAATTCCAGGAGACTCCCGCTTTCTGCCCCTCGGAGACAAGCCAAGTGTCAAGGGAGAGAGCATCATGTTTATGACCCTTGGACTGCAGCTTGATATTCGATGTGCTTTGCTGTTGGCCTGCGATCTGCAGGATGGGGCTGGTGGTCTAGTGGTGACTGATGCGTTCTGTGGAGCATTCCACAGGCATCTCTCAATTCAAACTGTAAAAATATAGTTTATTCTGAAACAACAGATCTTGCAGCTATTTAGGTCCTGACATCAAAGGGGTGTTGAGACCAAAAAGGGATGTCATGTGTAGGCATGTCTTGTCAGAACCATAAACCAGGAGTAAAGTGGGTTTCTTTTATAAACACTCTAAAATCTTCATTCTTCAAATGTGAAGGAGAAATGTAGTGTTTCAAGTGTGGACAATACCTATGCCAACTGGAGGGGCTCACCTGTGGGCATAGGCGCCGACTCCGTGGGTGCTCTGGGGCTGGAGCACCCACCGGCAACCTCCCTATCAGCTCCGCTCTTCCTCCCAGTGCCTCCTGCCTGCCAGCGGACTCCGCCAATCAGCGCTTCCCCCTCTCTCCCCGCGACTCCCACCCGCTGCGATCAGCTGTTTTGCAGCATGCAGTAGGCTCAGGGGGAAGGGTGGAGGAGTGAGGATGCTGCACGCTCAGGGGAGGGGGTGGAATGGGGTGGGAAGAGGTGTGGCGGAGCAGGTGCGGGAAGAGGCGGGGTGGGGGCTTGGGAGAAGGGGTGGGGTGGAGGCGGGAAGAGGCAGAGCAGGGGTGGAGCCTTGGGAGGGAGAGGGGGGGCAGGGCCTGGGGCAGAGCCAGGGGTCAAGCCTCCCCCAGCACATTGGAAAGTCGATGCCTGTGGATGTAGGTAATCCACCTCCCTGAGAGTCGGTAGCTAGGTTGATGGAAGAATTCTTCTGTTGACCTAGCACTGTCTACACAGGGACTTAGATCGACTTCACTACGCTGCTCAGGGGTGTGGATTTTCCAGTGTAGACCTCATTTTCTAGTGTAGACCAGGCCTTAAGGTTACATGAGATTTTCCTGCCACAAAAGAACAAAGGCAACTAGACTTGCATTGTATATTCATTAAACAGAGACATATTCAGGAGCTGACAGAATCACCAAAAGCAACCCATGAAGCGCTGAATCAGTGCAAGGCCAGCAGAGAATATTAAAAGCCAATCCAGCTCTAAGAAGGTGTGTCTTGTCATTCCTGTAAAATTATGAGAGAAAAGGGGTACCAAACTCTCTGCTCTCACCTCCAAACACACACTCAGAACAGCAAAAAAACTGCAGCTGAAAAACAACAGCTAAGAACTGAGAAGATTCAAGAAGGCACCAGCCTGATGACAACCAAAACTTCAACATGATGAGATGGAAGTAGCCAAAAGTCCTGCCAAGGGGTTAGAGTTAAACTTTCCGGTAATGATTTTATTGGGATATGGAAATGCTGCAGTAACTTACAAAGTTCACAGTTTCTCCTGTTAATCACCAAATAGTAAGACCACACGATCCTGGAGAGGAGAGCGGTCATGTCTACACCACAAACTTATATTGACTCATGTTACGTTGGCATGCAGCGGCTGCAGTCAGTACATCGCTTGTGCACATGTATACTTGGCTCCTTGTGTCCACGATGTGCGTACTCACCAGGAATGCTTGCATCAATGCAGAATGCAGTGCACCATAGATAGGCATCCCAATGTGCAACTCACCACCATCCAGCATGCTGTCTTTTGGGAAGAGTTGGCAATGCATGATGGAGCCAAAACGAGTTTCGCAGGGGTGACTGGGAGCATGGGGTCAACTGCCCAGTTTGCAACTGTCTCCATCCCATAATGTTATCTGTATCCCATA